GGAAGATGAGAAGTTTTCATTGCCATGCCACGGAAGAGAGAAACTGTGGGTGGGTAAGAATATGAACATTTAAGTGAACATCTAATATGAACTCAGCTATGTGAGGAGAAGACGTCAGAGGCATGACAGCATCACTGAACACCAGGGAGCAGACTTGCCATGTGGAAATGGAATTGGAAATGGATTTGACCCAAAGGGCTCAAGTGGGTACAAGTTAGAGGGAAGATGATTTCAGCTTAATATAGGGAGCAGCCTTAACAATTAGAGTTATCCAAAAACGGAGTGAACTACCTTGCAGAATATTCAAGATTTTGCCACCATAAATTTAAGCAGAGAATTATAGATAGGGGTTAATACATCAGGTAGATAGAAAACCTCAGAAGCTTTTCAAACTCCGAGATTCCATGGTTAAGGCTCTGCCACTAATTCTGGTAGAAGCTGCCAATTCATGCATCATGACCAGAATAACTGGAGTTCCATGATTTTAATTAGTTTTGTTGTTGTTGTTGTTTTGCTTTTTGTTTGGGTTCTTTTTTTTTAAAGATTTTTAAAATTTATTTGACAGAGAGGTCACAAGTGGGCAGAGAGGCAGGCGGGGCGGGGGAGCAGGCTCCCCTCTGAGCAGAGAGCCCGATGCGGGGCTCCATCCCAGGACCCTGAGATCATGACCTGAGCCGAAGGCGAGGCTTAACCCACTGAGCCATCCAGGGGCCCTTGTTTTGGTTCTTTGTTTGTTTAGAAGATACAGAAGTTCACTGGTACTAGCTCAAGCAAACAGAGGTTATTGTAGGGATATATGGTAGATAGGGATCTCAGAAGAACGCCGGAGAGTGATAGTGATACAGCAGACTTGACAGAAACTGTAACAGGAACTGAAGCTGCATCTGCTATCTTCCTCTCAGAAGCCGGCTGATCTCTTCTGCATGATAACTCTGTCTTCCTCCACATCCTCGTTCCGGTCTCTTCTTGAAACTGACTGGCTTCACGTAACTCGTGCGTGCGCCATGTCTGCTCACTGATAATTTCAGCTTGTCTTTCAGAGCTTCTCTAGCCTTGAATCTACTCATGATCTTACTCAGGTTCTCCTACCTGAATGTTTCAGTCTTTCATTTCCCCCAATTCCAGTTTTATGAGAAAAAGGACTGTCCCAGCTTTTTTCTAGCTAGATCACTCTCTACAATATAGATGGACATTCCTTGGGTCAGATAGCTTCAACTGGTCCAGATAGGTGGGGTTGGGGAATTTTATTTATGTGGGAGGGGAAGTTTCCACCAGAAACAGATGTGGGTTTCTAGTATCACTACTGAGAGATGAAGGTCATGGAGTTTATACCCAGAAATTTGAGAATCCACTTCAGTTTATTCTGCGTATTTTTTTTTCTTGTAAGAAGGCATTTTGTAAAATTAACATATAATGTGTTATTTGCCCCAGGGGTACAGGTCTGTGAATCATCAGTATTCTGTGTATTAAGAAGAGGGAGCCTAGTCAAAAGATTCTGTTTGAGACTAATGATACAAATATGAATTTTATTCTAGGATGTGTTCTAGGAACTTGTAATTCAAAGCATGGTTCATGGACCAACCGCATTAACATTGCTTAGGAGCTTGTTGGAAATCAGAAACTCAGGCTCCATCCCAGACTACTAAATTAGAATCTACATTTTAATAAGATTCCCAAGTGATCTGTATTCACATTGAGGTTTGAGAAGTGTGGCTCTAGGATAAGTTGGTCTGGTTTAGGTCTTTTAAGTTACCAAAGGCTTTTATCAGGAAACTTCCAGTAGTATGCTCTAGCCATATGAGAACCAAGTGCCAAGAGGTCAGAGTTCTGTGAGTTGGTTGATTTTATGTAGCGCCAGGTGTTAGACATTCACCAACATTCCACTGGACAGTTCTGAATCTCCTAGTTCAATCTTGAGTTAAAATAGCCTCCCAGGGGTTGTGGGACACAGTAACTCCCATACTGGGTGGGTGTGGAGCAAGACAAAATGAGTTCTAATTTCTCACCAAATTTTCCACTTTATGACTAAAAAATCATTATTCTAGATAGACGTTTCTGTATTAAAAAAAAGTAATCTGAGTCTACAGTAAGCACAAAGAGGGAAGGCAATCAAGGACTTAGTGATGATACTTAAAATCCATATAGACAAATGGGCAGAGACGAGAAAATCTCCCAGCTGGCGGCTGGATAGGTCTCGAGCAGAAACCCAGGTATGGAATAGCAGTTTCTTATGGAAGAGAAGATAAGGTAGGTAGATTCTGGTCCTAGAGACATACAACGTATGGGAGTTAATGCTTTTATTGCCTATATTATATTGAGTATAAAATTGTTAAACAAAACAACTCCAAGTTAATGATAGGTATGGATGCAAACGTTTCAGGGTATTACATAGGGAGTGGTTTTTAAAGTGTGGTCTCTGGACAACTACACCAGTTTTCAGCATCACCTGAGAACCCATTATAAATACAAATTCACGGGCCACACCCAGGCCTACTGGATCAGAAACTCTGGGGCATAGAGCCCAGCAATCTGTGTTAACAAGCCTTCTGGGTGACTCTGATGCATACCATTGAAGTAGGAAATGTCATCGAGTTCCTTATTTTTGTCCAATATGAGAATCCACTTTCAACTTGAACCCCAAGTGGGAACTGACTCTTCTTGCAAAGGAGTTTCCAGAACAACTGAAAGATGGTTGAAGAAAGCAGAGAGCACAGATCAAGGAACTACAGGGCTAGGCAAATATTTAGAAGCTTTTCCCAGGGAAGTTAGCCAAGCAGGAGGCAGCTGGCATGTTGCCAAGACTCCTGGAGAGTATAAAACTTCCTAGAAATCAACTGGGAAAAGTTGTGCTTAAAGTGAACTTTAAGGAAGTGCATGAACACAGCCTAAAGACTTTCTGCAACTACTAATAAAAGTTCTGATACAAAGAATGTGACATCCTAGCACGTGAATCATACATGTATCCGCATGTACTATATTAAGAAATAAGCAGATAATGAAAAAAGGTAACTGGACAGCATATTCATTTTGCCTCTCTGGTTAAGGGCTCTCACTGGTTCCTCACTAATGACAAAGTGTAACATTTAATGAGTGTTTACTCCGTGCCAGGTACTATAGTGAGTACCTCAACAAATTATCTCATCAGTCCCCTATCCCAGATAAGAAAACCGAGGCCCAAAGAGGTGTATAGTAACTTGCCCTAGGTCACATAGCTGGTAAGTGAAGATACTGAGGTTCAAACCCAGAGAGTTTGGTTCCAGAGCACCATTGCTGAACTGAAAGCTCTACTGCCCGTCTTTGGTGAGAACTTCATTATGTATTACATATTTCGAGGCTTAAGAGTTTCCATTTCAGAGTGTGGATTTTGTAGTTTTTAATAAGTCTCAAACGAAAGAACCTCTTTACATGTTGTTATACAGAAATAACTGGATTCTGGATCCCATCTGACTGATGCCGTCAAGTTCTGGGGGTCAAAGTGGGCAATCGGAGAGGTCGCACCTCTACTGCTTTAATAGGGCTGCTACGACAAGCATATACACGTTGCTCTGAGTCCCAGGATGAAGTGTTTAAATTACCTCCTTCTAACATGAGACATAAAGAAGCACACAGATGGGGCCAGATTACTCTGTGTATAGAAAAGGACAGCTGCAGAGGCTAAGGAAAAGCACCTTTAATCACCTTTTTTGACTGGAAATGGATTTGGTGAACTTGCCCCAAATCTTGAATTTACCCTCAAATGAAATTAGTTTTTTGTTTTTTTTTTTTTAAAGATTTTATGTATTTACTTGTCAGCAAGAGAGCACAAGCAGGGGAGTGGCAGACAGAGGGAGGAGCAGGCGCCCCGCTGAGCAAGAAGCCCCCGGTGGGACTCAACGTGGTGTTCCAGGATCAACACCTGAGCAACCCAGGTGTCCCATGAAACTCGTTCTACTCCTCACGAGAGCGAGGGCTGTGTTGGTTTCGTTTGCCACATCAACGCGTCGATGCACACGGCTTGACGCACGGCAAACAGTCCCGTGTTTGTGAAAAAAGGAAGGAGAAAAGAACAGGAGGAGGGAGAAAAGGAAGAAAGTTTTAAAGGTAGATTCAAGTTCTCTGAGTGTGTGTGAGTGTGAGTGTGTGTGTGAGTGTGACAGTCATAAATGGGTCCGGAACTTCTGCTCAGGGGTTCGTACGGCAGGGGATAAATCAGAAAGTTTACTCTGGGTGCGGCTGGGCACGATCCATGCCCAGGAACTAAGTCATCCGGGAAATTCCTACTTTGATCCAGTCCAGCTTCTCCTGGTAGCTTCACGGTGAAGGGAGCTCGTGTGTGTGTGCGTGTACGTCTGTGTGTATGTGTGTGTGTGTCCGTCTGTGTGTGTGTGTGTCTGTGTGTGTGTGTCCGTCTGTGTGTGTGTCTGTGTGTCCGTCTGTGTGTGTGTGTCCGTCTGTGTGTGTGTGTCCGTCTGTGTGTATGTGTGTGTGCGCGCGTCTGTGTGTGTGTCTGTCTGTGCGTGTCCGTGTGTGTGTGTGCGCGCGTGTCTGTGTGTGTGTGTGTGTGTGTCTGTCTGTGTGCGTGTCCGTCTGTGTGTGTGTGTGTCCGCGCACCCGGGAGGACCCGGGCTTGCGGGCGGGCGTCCGGCCGGGGAGTCGAGCCGCGGCCCGAAGGCAGCTCCAGACGCGGTCCCGGAGGGTGTCAGGTAAACCGGGAAGCGGCGTCATCTGCGATCGGATGTTTTAGGCGACGGGACGCGGACAGCAGCGGTGACGTCATGGGAAGGACACGGATTTTTTCTTCGGTCCCGACCACCGCCGCGTCGGTCTCCAGACCTGCGCTCTCGCGACAGAAGAGTCACGTCGCTGCAGCGTTGCTCACGGCCCGGCCGCCCGGCGGAGAGGACGCGCGGCCGCTTCATGCGGAGACGCGCTCAAGACCACGCGGCCTCGAGCTGAGTGAGAAAGAGTCTGTGGTGCGCGGGGCGCCTCGGGCGGTCCTGGAAACTCTGGCGACTTAAAGACTTTCAGGAGGCTGGAAACGGGACGACTGAAGTCGGTGATACTCTTCGGATTTTGTTTCTCGTGCTTTCCCGGGTTCTCTCAGTACAGTAACCGCACCGGCCTGAGCACGGCTGAGGACTCAGGAGAGAAGTAAACGGCACCGCCACACGACCGCATCTCCCCATGGGCAGGTTCCTCTGAGGCTGGGTAGAGCGGTCGTCCCGGAACCGCCGAGCGCAGGTCCCAGCACGGAAGACAGACAGTAACACCGCCACGGGGCCCCAGCGTCCCCGCCGCGCAGTTCCGGGCCGGCTTGAACGCCCATCTCTGGTCTCCGCCCGTTTTCCTCTTGCTCTTTCTAATCCTCCCCCCTCGGCCAATTCCGGAGAGGAACCCTTTTTAGATTCTTCCACGTGGAAGCGTAGGACTAATTTCGTCCACACCATCCGGAATGGCCAACATGGCGGCCGCCATAAGATGCCTCGGTAGAGGTAAAGCGGGGCGTTCTCTGGGCTTAGGAGGGACAGCAGCTCCGGTATGGGGGCTGCGGTTGTAAGCCGGACGCTCCTAGCACGGTCTGCACTGGGGGCTCGAAACGCTTCTTAGGGCTCTAGGTTCTCCAGAGAGTTATTACTTAAAAGCGATGCTATCGGATACTTCACTTCTTTCTGGAGCTGTCCTTCGTAGGGGTGTCGTGGGAGGAGGTGTGCCCGGCCAGCCCTCCGGCCACCCTTGGGGACCGAGGCGAGGACGCGGTTCCGTCTCCACCGGGGTGTGAGCTGCGCGGGGAGCTCCGAGTGCAAGAGGAGCTGCGGTTAGGGTTCTGCGTCCGTCAAGTTTAACACGTTACAGAATGTTTGCTCGTGCTTTGGGAGCACGTCGGTGCGGGCAACTCTGATTTTTTTTTTCTTTTAAATAATAATTTTTTATAAACATATAATGTATTATTAGCCCCAGGGGTACAGGTCTGTGAATCGCCAGGTTTACACACTTCACAGCACTCACCATAGCACAACCCCCCCCCAGTGTCCATGACTCCATCACCCTCTCCCTAACCCCCTCCCCAGAAACCCTCAGTTTGTTTTGTGAGATGAAGAGTCCCTTATGGTTTGTCTCCCTCCCGATCCCATCTTGTTTCATTTAAAGCAATTCTGATTCTTTTTTTTTTTAAGATTTTATTTATTTATTTGACAGAGATCACAAGTGGCAGAGAGGCAGGCAGAGAGAGAGGAGGAAGCAGGCTCCCCGCTGAGCAGAGAGCCCGATGTGGGGCCCGATCCCAGGACCCTGGGATCATGACCTGAGCCGAAGGCAGAGGCTTTAACCCACTGGGCCACCCAGGCGCCCCAGCAATTCTGATTCTTAAAGCGCGCAGACGTCGTCTAATTCGCATCAGCATTTATCATTTGGAGACTAATTGTGTGGTGCTTCTTGGAAGCTCTTTTCCGCAGTTGTTAGACTCTGTTGTCGAGGACGACAGCCCTTTTTCGGTTACAATGCTTTTTTTTTATACAGTGCTTTTTAAATTTTTGTTTTGTGTTTTGGAAACATTGATACATACTGTTGTTTAATTAAGGTGGCCCTTTAGAGGAAGCAGCAGCCGGCATCACTCCTGTTTTGCGGAGGAATAAACTGATAAGTGGAGATATGTAGTAGTGCTCCTAGAACTAGTAAGTGGAGGGCAAAACTGAAGCTTCACTCCTAGGCCAGTGTTTTTTTTTTTTTTTTTTACACTACATCCTAGTTTTCTCTTTGAGCTTCTTACAGGAACGCCTAGTGTCAAGACAGAATTCTCTCTTTGGCCTAGTTGTTTAAGACCCGGTAACGCCTAAGTGAGCAAACCAAAAAGTGTACCATTACTGAAAAGAGTTATGGTGTTTTCTTCATGTATGAGAGAAATAGCATTATATTAGACAAGTCAAATAAACCAAAAAGAGAGCTGAAGATTATCATTCTCTCCTTGCCATGTTTTTTTCTCTTGGTTTCTAGGATTCCTCACTGTCTTGATACTATTTTTATATCACCTGTCATGTCTCACATTACTTTGCTGGTTCCTCCTCCTCTCCCCAATCTCTTACCTTGCAGTGTCTCAGGAGCCAGGATCCTGTCTTTCATCGTTTCGGCTTTTGTATATAAATTCACTCCTCTGCTGATTTCATCCACGTCTTCTGGCTTTGACTATTTTCTATATCGTGATCGGCTCTCAAACTTACAATTAGAGTTAGCACCTCTTTTGAACTTTCGATTCTTGAACTCATCTGCCGATTCTAGATCTCCACTTGTATATCTCATTAGCACTTAGCATTTGTCTAAAATTGGACTCATTATAGCGTGCAGTCTTCCCCATCTCTGCATGGTAACTTCATCCTGGGTCTGGACCAAAACCTCGAATATCCTCAACTCCCCCTCCTTTCCCCACACTTCACATTAATTAGTTGACAAATCCCATTGGTTTTACCCTTGGAATAAACCCAAAATCTAACTTCTCGCTACACTACAGCAACTGCCTTGTATGCCATTACCATTCCTACCTGGATTTCAGTATATGCTCAACAAGTAGTAAAATTGGTCCTTTAAGAACCTAAGTCATGTTACTCTTATGCTTGAAACTCTGCAAGGCCTCCCCATTTTTCTTAGTCCTTAAAAATGGCCTATGGTTGTGCTGTCTTTATTGTTATCCACTGTTGAGCACTTCAGATGTGGTTAATCTGAATTGAATGTGTCAAATACACATTAGATTTTAAGGATTTAGTACCCACAAAAGTAAAATACCTGAATTTTTTATATTGGTAACATGTTGAAATATTATTTCAAAATATTTCAAAATATAATATTTTGGGGTATTGGCTGTAATAAAATGTGTTAATCTTAATTAATTTCACTGGTTTCTTTTATACCTTTTTAAAATGTGGCTATTAGAAATTTTAAAATTATATATGTGGTTTATATTCTACTTCCATTGGACAGCACTGGCCAAGGGTCTTCATACGTCTTGTGCCTGCCTTGTCCCCCCCTGCCTCGCCCTTACCCAGTTTACCTCTCTGACCTCATTTCTGGCTACCCTTCCCCTCACTCTGTGTGCTCTAGCCACACTGGCTTCCTTGTTTCCTGATCAACACCAGGAACATTTCTGCCTTGGGAAGACTTTCTCCAGATGGGATGAGGGTTCAAGACCCTTTTTCCAGGTATTTGTGTAACTAATTTTCTCATTTCTTTCAAGTCTTGGCTCAGGTGTCACCTTTTTGATGAAGCCTACCTTAACAATCTTACTTAAAAGTGCAGCCCACTTTCCCCTTGACTCTCCATTTTAACCACTGGGTTCCCCCCATCACTACCATTTTGTGTTTATTAGTGTTGTCTCCCTTCACTGGGACGTAAGCTCCACGGGGACAGGGATTTTTGTCTGTTTGTTCACTAAATGTTTAAAGTGGTGCTAGCATGTTTCGTTGGCATATTGTGTAGAAGAATGAATAAATCAATGGACCTACATCGTAATGCCACCCCTCTTCCATGTGTTGTAACTAATAATAAAGTAATTCGAATGCAGTTTTTGCTTTCATTTGTTCAAATTTCCTTCCTCCATTCAATGATGGTGAATAAGCTATACACATTCCTTCCCCGTGATGCTTATCTTTTATGAGGTGCAGGCATGAACTGGTTAATTATTTTCTTTAATTACAATTGTTCTAAGTGATGTGAGGGAAAAGTACAAGGTGCTGTAAGAGTGTTTGTGAGAGACCTAGTCTGTCCTGAGTCTTCAGGGAAAACTTCTGAAGAAGTAGTTTAACAGAGTCCCTGAAAGATCATTGGCTAATTAGAAATTAGCTATGGAAGGGGGAGTAGAAGGTGATAGGGGAGAATGTTATAGATGGAGGGAAGATTATATTTGAAATACCAAAGTGGTTAAAAAATTACAGCGTGTTTAAGAAACTGAAAGGATGGGGCGCCTGGGTGGCCCAGTCAGTTAAGTGTCTCCCTTCGGCTCAGGTGATGATCCCAGAGTCCTGGAATTGAGCCCCGCCTGGGCTCCCTGCTCAACCCAGAGCCTGCCTCTCCCTCTGCCCACCCGCCCCTCCCCACTTTGTGTGTGTGTGTGTGTGTGTGTGTGTGTGTGTGCGCGCGCGCACGTTCTCTCTTTGTCTCTGTGTCTGAAATAAAATCTTAGGAAAAAAAAAGCTGAAAGGAGGCCAGTGTATTTGAAGTACAGCAAGCGTGAGAAAGAGTCATGTTAGATCAAGTTCACTATAGGTTAGAAGTACCTCATGGAGGACCTTGTTAGGAAGTTATTCAAAGAACAAGGGGAAGCCATCCAGGTGTTTTAGGGATGTGATGATATTTTCATTTTTAAATGATCCCTCTTACTAGTAGGTAGAAAAGAAGTGGAGTAGACTAAGAGTGGAATATCGAAGGGTTTGGAATTTGTTGCCGTAATCCTTGTGGTAGGTGAGGATGGCCTGGACTATGACGGGTGTAGTGGGAAGGAAAGACTAGATGGTAAGATCTCCTAGGGAAATTGAGGATTGTGGAACTCTAGTCTTTCAGTATCAGATACAAGAAGCAGCTAGGAAAGGAGATGGAGTATTTCCCATCTCACTGCCAAGGGGTTGGGGTGGGGCTGGGAGTGACTTTTGAGAACCAGTACAGATGCGGGAAGGTTTCTCAGTCGTTGAGATAATTCTCTTCTCTCTGAAGTAGCAAGTGAGGTTATCTGCAAAGAGTGAAGGGAGAAGTGTGTTAAAGGAGTGTGATAATACAGGTAGACAAAATGACCGCAGAGGGATTGAAATACAGATATGGTCTAACTGTGCTATCTGAATATAGTTGATCCATGAACAGTATAGAGATTAGGGGTGCGCCCCCCAACCCCAGGCAGTTGAAAATCTGCATAATAATTTTTTTTGTTTCTTTCTTTATTGAGTCTAACCCCCAGCCAGGGAACAAGAACAGACCATGATGATTGTCACACACCCTCCCTCCCGACTCTCTGCCTTAATTTTGACTCCTCCAAAACAGAACTACCAATAGCCTAATGTTGATGGAAGCCTTGCTGATAACAGTTGATAAACACTTATTTTGTATGTTCTGTGTATTATATACTGTATTCTTACAATAAAGTAAGATAGAGAAAAATGTTATTAAGAAAATCATAAGGCAGAGAAAATACATTTACAATACTGTACTGTCTTTATTGAAAAAAAAATCTCTGTATAACTGGACCCACACAGTTCAAACCCATGTTGTGCAAGGGTCAGCTATAGTGGTATTTTTGTAATTTGGTTTTTATTAGTGTGTCACAGTTTCATAGCTTTCTGTTGAAAAGCATAATTTCTGGTTGTCATGATTTGGGATTTTAAATAATAGTGGTTGATTGTTTTATAGTAGTTTGCAGTTGATGTATTCAAGAAAATTATTATTCTGAGGATCTTACCAAGGTTGTTGGGTTCTTGTTTAGTACAACTAGAACTATTGTTTATTGTTTGGAAGTGTTTGC